CCATCTCAAATTGTTTCAAAGATAACATTTAAATGTTTATATTTATCAGTATTTACAATCCAAGCATCTTAAAACTTAACTTCATGGTAGAAAGCGTGATGGGTCAGTGAGAAGGACTGGACTGCACTTTTATCCAAATTTACTATCATGTTATTTTCAGTGCACCACTTTATGGCTCCTCTATCACGAGCTTTGCATTACGTAGTGGTTCCTGAATCCAGATGAATAAGTCATCGTCTGGAATGCTCTTTAGGAAGGCAACTACATTACTAATATAAATGTTAAATAGGGTGTTGCTGCTTACTGATCTCTGTGGAAGGCCGGTTTGTAAGTCATAATATTTAGAATAGCAATCGCCATATTTAACTTTACAGATTCGTTTGTCTATAAAGGACCTTATTCATTTTAACATCTTTCCGTTAATTCCCATATCAAAAAGATTTTACTGGACTGGACTGCACTTTTATCCAAATTTACTATCATGTTATTTTTAGTGCACCACTTTATGGCTTCTCTATCACGAGCTTTGCATTACGTTTTGGTGCCTGAATCCAGACGAATAAATCATCGTCTGGAATGCTCTTTAGGAAGGCAACTACATTACTAATATAAATGTTAAATAGGGTGTTGCTGCTTACTGATCTCTGTGGAAGGCCGGTTTGTAAGTCATAATATTTAGAATAGCAATCGCCATATTTAACTTGTACTCCTTAAATGATTTCTATTTAGCAAAACTCTTCTTTCGGCTAACAATAGTTACAGCAGCTGTTAGGAAAGTTCGCAGTAGTATTGCAATATTTAAAACTTTGTTCTGGATATTGTATTTTAGAATAAACAATTCAAAAGAACAGCATTTCCACATTCTTGTTTCATTTTCCTAATAGAAAGCAAAGCTTTGGAATACTTAATAGGAAAACAGAAATTTATCTTTATAAGATATACACAGGTCTAAGAAGAGTATGCCCCATTTCAAATTTAGTAGTAATTTCTTGAAACCGTTTATCTAGAGTAAAAAGTATTTTCCTTCTTAATTTAATTTTATATGACATTCCAGAATCTCATTATTCTTCCCCTGCCTCAAAGATCCACGTAAGTAATACATACAAAATAAAGTATTACTCGAAAAATGCTACCCCAAAAATATGCCTCCCGGGGCGGTCCGCCCCCCTCTAGATCGTTCCCGATACTGTTTGCTCATAGTCGTATAAGAGTACTCATATACAGCTCTGAAGGAAAAGTATTGGATATATTTTAAACTGGTTTCAGAGTTATTCGCAAATACTTTGGAAATGAATCATAAAAATCAAACTTCTTTATGCTGTGTCCTGGTTAACATGTCACCTCCTTATCACTTTTAAAGTATCCCAAAATATCTCAATTAGTGATGCATGTAACGAGCGTTTTCCTTGTTACTATATTCAAGGGACACGCTCTTCCTGTGCTATCGAAATCAAAGAGTTTATCAACTGAAATGATTTATTGCTACTTAATGTCACAACTCTGCAGCAGCTACTTGGCCTATTGTAACAGAGTTTAAACAAACAGGCAGGACGCATTCAGGGACGATCGAAAATCTTTAATTTCATATCTGTTGCTAATTATTGCACTCCCAAACTACGGTATGACGCTTCAAATATGACTGAGCGAAAATATTTCGAGTGGGTAAATTTTATCACACACAGACACTCACGAGCACATGCATAAAAAAAAAATTGACAGCTTTCAGATTTTATATTACGCACAAAGGGGCGTTTTGTTAACGTTTTGCGTGTTATCTTTATTTATTAAACATCATATTATTTGTACTTAAACCATAGAATTCAATTCAGCGGCAATATCGCAAAATATTTAAATACAGCATATCTTTAGAATTTCCGACACAAAGTCTCGCGTGCTGGAGATAATTTTTTTTACACTGTTCAGTGTTGCCATAACTCGCTTTGAAATAGTTGAATTTGTTAATCAAAAATTGGTTAAAGGTTTACAAAATATGAAGTAAATAATTAAACAAATTCTAAATTTTAGCTTCCAGATGCCCATATTCCAATGGAGAACTACGTTATTCAAAATTGGATGTCTCTAGGTGCCGTTGTTTTTCACAGTGCGAGAAACAGAACATTCATGCAGATTGTTCATTATTTAATTTCTTTAAGTATAACACAGGGCGGTAATATTTTGTGGCAACAGTTTGAAAAGTGATTCGCCGTTTGTAGTGGACCGACACAAAATCACAAAACGAAAATAATAGTCCTTCAGGGACAAAGCCCCTTTGGACTAAAAAAGGACAGTTCGATATCTCTCGTTCTATTGGGCCGATTGACGAAGTTCAACTTGTGTTTTTCATGTCTCGAAAGCGCGACTTAGGAGATGTATTAGATTTATGTATAGCATTGTTTTAATATAGCTATTTACCTATTACTATTTACCTTTTCATTGTGAATTTATAGTTGGATAGAGTTAATAAATAATACATGCACATAAAAAAAAAAAAAAAAAAAAAAAAAAAAAAAAGAGTCGCCCAAGCGTATAGTGATTAGCGTGTCTGGCTGCCCTGCAGAAGGGCCCGGGTTCGAATCACGGAGGAGGCATGGATGTTTGTACTTGTATAGTGTCAGTGCGGCATGGCGGCTCTCTAAATATGAGGCGAGCCGAAAGTCCTCTCTATTAAAAACTAAAGCATTTTTATGGTGATCGCACAGCGACGGGCACATCGATCGGCGGACGGCATGGTACACGCGGGCATAGAGTTGGAACCGTTGAGTTAAAGCCTACTGTATGAGCGTTTGTGTGGTTTTACCATTAAGTAATGGGAGTACAAGTCAGATTTCCATTGAAAATCCACCCCGACGGCTTCCCTCCTTTTCAGACAGATAGCTCTAGTGTATTTTATAACTCAAACCATCCAATTTGGACACAGAAGCACCATTCAATGACCTCATGCAAAGGTGTGATAACATTAGTAAAACTTATTAGATTATTTCCTTTCAGCAAAGACCAAATTTATGTGGAGAATTTTCTAATACAGAAACTGGCCTATATTCATACATACAATAGGGTAAAACAGGACGGAACACAAGAAATTCACCTTTGGTCATACAAGTATTGTCCCGCCTAGTTTTGAGGGAGAGCACACCAAGAGGCAGTCCGAGGGGCTTTTACCCCTCTTTCTCTACCACCGACTAGTCGAGGGAACTTTCGTTCCCTTGCCACTTAGACACTTAAAAACATCCATGCCTTCTTCGGGTTTCGAACCCAGGCCCATCGGTACATTAATCAGCGTTACTAACCACTACACCGTCTCGGCCGCTGCGAACACAATCACGAAAACTTCATAAAACCAGTCTGTTTAGTTGTCAGGTATGAAACTCAGGACAAACTACCAGTATTTTGCAACTTTGGACGTTTGGCTACTAATAAACTATTACACTGCGTTTCAGAATGCCAGTTCTTAATTTAATGAACAATTGAATTTAATTTCTTCAGCAATAAATAGTGTACAATCAAATACAGTTCTCCCCCCCCACAATCTTCATTTACTTTTGAGTTGAAATAATCTTTTGAAGGACAAATTTTTTACCAACTTGTGTTCTTTGACTTACCACTATTCTCTTCTTCAAAAGCTGCTCTATTGTACAGGTTTACCATTAGGTGAATGCAGAGAAGCCAAGATAACAGAGCATCTGTCTTACTAATATACACACCAACGCACAGACACACATTTTCCATGGCGATAAGAAGACCACAGTTAATAAAAACCAGCTTTTTGGAAAACATAATTAAATAACGGTACTGAATATCACAAATAGGAATGTTTTTAAAACGACCACCTCAAGAGAAGACCAACTTTTTCTGGAACTGTGGATGGTCGTGTTAGAGAGATTTCTTTGTATGTACTGTATAAACAATGTGTAAGAGCTCCCTAAATTTCTTTGCATAAGATCAACAGATAATCTTACACCAGCTCTGATATCATTTATTAAAATTAATAATATATTGTAAAAGGTACTGGAAAAAATTATTTTAATTCCCTGGAATTAAAAAAAAAAAAAAAAAAAAAAAAAAACTTGCAGATATGCGGGAAAAAGAGATCCCGAGTTTCCGGGATGGACACCCGCTGCTGCAGGCTAAAACCTGAAACATTCATTTATACTGTATTTTGATTTCTAGGGACTGACTAAACTGGCTGCATAGGGTTTTAGTAGTGTAATGTAAATAAAATTCAGTTTCTGACACAACGATTGCATAGGTAGATAGATAGTTGTCAAGTACGCAGCTAAATTTAAGTATCTGACAGCACTTTTTTTTAAAAATTCTCAAAAGGTATTTATTATATGCATAAAAAGCAGAAACAATGTTCATCAATAAAATTCATATATCTCTGAGATTAAATTAAATCGTATAATATTATGCTTTTTTTAATCTAACTATTTTATGCAAAATTCTTGCTATGACAGTATATATAGTTCCTAATATTAAAATAATAAACTTTTACGTAAAGGAAATTCATGAAAAATAAAATATTTCTTTAATTGTTTAATATAAGACTATATTCCCTGCTTAATTTTTAAGGAATAGAAGATATTCCTATGTGATAAGGGTAATTATCACGAATTATCTTACATCGTTCGCAAAAAAAAAAAAAAAAAAAAATTAGAAGTCACGGAAATTTTATTTGCAAAGGATTAAAAAAAATCAAATAATGCGTGGCTTTTAAATGATTTGTTACATTGAATAAATTTTATAAATTAAATAAAAGGTTTCATTCACTCATTTTACCTATTTGCCGGATTTTGATTGGCCCACGAGTTGAAAAGAGGACTTAGAAAATCTTTTCAAGTGAAAGGGGTGTCCTAGGGCACATGCACTAGTTATTTCCGCTGTCATCAAAGTACATAATCTGCTTGGATTATCATGATTTACCAAAAATTTGAGAAGCAGACATAAAACGTAGTGACCTTCGACACGTGATATCTGTTATCCAATCACAATCGCTGTCACTTAGCGCCTTGTTGTTTCCAATCCGCCATAGTTGTCGCCATCTTCTTAAGTATTTTTGTTAGCTAGTTAAAGTTTTGCGGACCGATGGCTGTAGAAATCACTTAACAAAGCTCGATTTTAGTCCAAAGGACTCAGTAGATCATGGAGACACCATGACTCATCCTAATTTTGTGACAAATGGCGCCAGCCTTGAAGACTGCCACACTAATTTCTTCGCATTGGTAAGTACACTGTACTGTAATAGTCACAGCTTACTGTAAGAGAGGGCGAAAGACCTTTACAGCCGTAAGCACTTTCAGCGCTCACCATTTGATAAGCTTACAGCTGCCGCTTCGCCCCTCATGATATATATTATACATGTTTTTATATAAAATGCTTATTAATTGCGTTCGAAATGTTAATTTTGTTAATACGTCGGACATAGCGTGTAAGCACGATCTCCGATGTAAATAACAGTAATAAGCCTACTCCAAATGCCGATATGATGTGTTTATAAAAGTATTATAATGTAACCTGTTAAAGGAAATGATGTACAATCAAAGTTTTTAAATTTTAAAACGGAGAGGAATAATTCTGTATGTTTTATTTATATTTAACTTTGACAGTCGCGATACAGCTGACCTGTTTTACAGATATTGTTACTCAATACAAGAGTTGAAATGTGTTTTTTAGGGCATTGCCACTGATTCGCTGACGCTATATTACCTGTGCATTGCGAACATTACGACATTTAATTTTAAGTATTAATTATATTGTAATATAGTATAGTATAATAGCATTCATCTCATCCGTATTGAAGGAAAATAACAACTTTCATTTGTAGTGTTTACTCGTTATTATACCACCTAAATAAAATTACGAAATCAGATTCCATTGACATTTTCACATCCTTTCATGGATTTCGATGATTTTATTGGTATATATAAATATGAAAATATATATAAGAATACTTCGTATATATTTTTGAATGTAATTTAACACTAAGGTAATAAGCTAGTCACATATTCGTGATCTATAAAGTTTGAGATAAAAGTGTATCTGACACATGTGGAAAATATTTTTTACCCATGTAAAGTGCATTTTAAATAAATATTTTTGTTTATATTCTCACCAGAATTCTTCAAAAGATACTAAATCATTTCTGAACTTACAACACTTTGATCATTAAACCAATTTGATGAATTTAACTGTGTATTGGAACATTTTTTTTTTTAAGCATATCTATCTTGTAGACTTGAAATTAATTATTTTAACCCTTTAAATGTAAACTGTTTTGTAATTAGACACAAAACATTGATGCATTGTTTGATCTGCTAAGAATATGTATGTAATGCATTGTTTTCACTTATTTTGCTGATCTTATAAAAGATTTTAAGTTATTCATTTCTGAATAATAGAAAATTTTATGCAGCATTGTTTTTTAAAGTTGATTATTTTGGTTACATGTGCTACAGTCAGAATTGTTTATGGATATTTAAAGAGTAGTTTGGTATAGTAAAACTCAATTTCTAAAGGTTAAATCTTTAAAAAAAAAAAAAAAAAAAAAAATTCAATTTTTCCTCCATTGTAAAAAGCATTTACATTTTTTTTAAAGTTGTTTTCTTTCACTTGCACAGAAGATACAATAGTAATTGTAAGTTCAGGAATCTATGACATGCTGAAATCATATCTTTTGTAGAAAGTATGAAATAGTAATTAATTTTCAACATTTGATTATGTGAAAGTTAGATAAACCGAATTTGTAAAATAATTTAATCAATATATATGAAAATTGAAATTTTTGCTATATTAAATGTTTTTCTAGAATTTTTTGAAATATTCGGTTTAATCCTAGTATCCGGTGCACACGGGATTTGGCTACTTTTTGACGACTTTATGATAAGCAGCAAAAACTGAACATACAGCAAAAACGGGACATATACGATGAGTAGTAAACGGGTCATTCAAATAATATATATAGTTATACATAGTATATACTATGTATATACACAAATAGTGTATAGTGTATAGTATATTGATGTTTGGATCATTTTTGATATTGGCGATAATTTTCAAAATCGTGCCAAGGTTGCACCGTATACTAGGATTTTACCAAATATTCTTGAAGTATTTCTCTTTGGAGCATTTATGTTTTTAAATTCCCTTTCTTTAAACTCCATTTAACAAACTTGTTTTAAACTTATGTAAGTATATTCTGGTGATATTGGGGCAGAAATATTAGTTCTATGCATAGTGATTGGTGTGACTCTTATAAAAATAAATATAGTAAGACCCCGCTTAACGCGGTGGATACGTTCCATCAAAGCAGAGCGTAATGCGAAACAGCGCTAAACGAAGCTATCTTTACATGTAAATATTGGGGTTAGGGGAAGATGGCTAGGAAATTGGTTAGGTATTAAATTTAAAAAGTATGTTTTTTTTATTAAAAATAAAACCAAACATTTATTTCTTAAAGCCCAAATTAATACCACATTATTATTTCTTGCAAAAATAAAAACAAAATATAAATAACAAAACGAATATTCTTAAAAAAAAAACAAATAAAATTCTCAGTCAGTCATATTTAGTTAGCCTTCCGCGTTTTCAGTGTTCTGCCTTTTTGACAAAAGCATCTAATGTTGTTTGCCTTTTTCTTTTGCGTTGTTCTCTTAAAAGTTCTTCATAAACGGATAGAGCATCTCTAACAACACGCCTTACTTTTGAGCTCCTGTCAAAATTCGGATCATTTTCAATGAATTGATCCATTATTTCAGTTTATGGTAGACAAACTCCTTTTACAAACGCCATCAAAAGTTCTTTTTGCTCTTCTTCTGAATCACTGCTGTCAACATTTTTGTTTTCTTCTTGTTCAGTTAATTCCTTGAGCTCATCATTAGAAAGACTAGCCGCTGCTTCTTGAAATTATCTTTCGACATCTTCCCACATTTACCCCTTCAAAATATGTCTGTACAATACCACACCAAACAAGAAATACAAGTACACTTTTTTGGATATGTATTTGAAACCTATCGCTGCATAATATTTCGGGGAATCCCCGTATGCTGCGAGCGATTTCGTGGAATCCCCGGGTTGAAATAAAAGAGCGCTAAACCGAAACAGCGTTAAGCGGGGTCTTACTGTAATGCATTTTAAAGAACTATTATAATCTCGCAGAACAGCTTTTGATTAAACAGTTGATCTTCAAATTTCACAATTTTGCATAAATACAATTTTTTTCAGTAAATAAATCTCGAAATCTTTTGAAGATTTAGAAAAAAAAAAAAAAAAAAAAAAAAAAAACTTAAATAGTCTACAAATATTTAAATGTGGGAAATGTCTGTGATGAAATACAGTGAAAATTGTTTAACATGAAGCTGAGGGGACTGAAATATTTTTTCGTGTTAAAGGATAATAGGGAAAATCATATATTCAACAAAATTAAGTTTATTAAGTATATTTTATTTACATAGGTATGCATATAGGCATGTATTGAATAAAAATCAATGAAACAAAAACATCCACAAGAACTTAATGAAATTTAATTCAAAATTTTTGAGTTTTAAGTTTCGAGCCTGTAAGGCGGGTGTTTTCCGCATTTTGTTATCCTTAGAAAGGATATCTTTTCATGTTAACCAGTATTTCGTCTTATGCGTTTTTGCGTTAAACGTATTTCACTGTATATGTAATGTAAAAAAATATAGAAACTGTTTTATCTTTTATTACCATAAAATGAACTGAAATAGCCTACACAAAACATTAAAATTTGTCAGTATATTAGTACACAGAAATTTGCAGATTGGCACTGGCAGTGAGCATACCATACAGCAAACATATTACAAAGCAAACATAAACTAATAGTAGGAAACTAAAATTTTCTACTGTCAGTTTGTTGTCTCCTGGATGGTGTGTCTAGGAACAGATGTCCCTCACACCCAGCTTCACCACTGATCATCAAAAGCATCATTATTGATGTTAAAAACAACTAAAATTTAAATAGCGTATATATATATTCACTTACTCATCTAATAATTTTTATTTTAATGTTTCTAATTTATATAATTTATAGTACATCAGATCCATGCTATTTATATTGATTTGCTGAATTATTATAATGAATGAATAATATTTCTTAAAGTTTCTACCCTTTAAAATATTTATTTTAATTGCGGAGTTTTTTTAGGCAATCTGTGAAAACAAGCAAGGACAAAAAACTGTTCTTTGGAAAATTTAGTGCATTTTAAAATTATTTGTGTGATTATGTACTACCTAAATTACTCTACAGGAATTTTTTTTTAAATTTTAAGTAAGGATAAATGTGCTTTAAGATTACAAACTGTAACATTATCTTTGATATGCAATAAATGAAATTTTTGATTAAGCTGTATTTGAGCAGTATGTTCATGATTTTAATTTCTTAAAGGCTGACCTTTGCGGGATAAAATGGCGCCGCTTCTATGCTGAAAGTGTGTTGTGCATTGAACCTTTGGACGATCCGGTGCTATCTTCCTTTAGCAAGTGCTTGGCTACAGATATTTTATGTGTCTGGAGGAGGGTAGCATCGCAAGGCCAAGAACAGCATCGACACAATTTGCAAGATGGAAACCAACTTAACTATAAAAAGGAACTGTGGGTATTTTGGTATGGAGAAGAACCAGATCTTACTGGGTTGGTTAGTTCAGAACTTACTGGTGAGTGTATTACTGTACTTCTTTCTGTTAGATATTCTGCTCATCACGTTTAAAACTTTCAATCCTCATAAGGTATTTTTCATTATCTGCATTTTGTCTTCAATATTTTGCAGAAATTGCTGTGTTTTTCTTGTGTATATTCGAGTATACATGCAGGAATAGCCAACGCATGTATTGAGTATTTGTGAATTTATATTCACGGTGATAAACCCATTAAATATGCATTTCATATAGTATCTTAAATTGCCAGGAGTCCCATAATAAGAATATTAAAGATATTGTAAAATTCTAAAATCTCTATGCACAAAGTAGATTTATTTAATTAGTATTCAAAACTTCCTTCTGTGTTACAACTTGTAAGCCTGTTCAGGAGTTTAAAATGAATGCAAAATTATTTTTGATTTTATATCAGCTTAAATATGTTATGCAGCTTTCCTTGCAGTGGATGAAATAAAATGTCTTAACACTGAGAATAAAATAATGATCAAGTATTGAATCTTGGATTACTAATAAGCTATTAGAAATAAGGTGTTAAGATTTAATTCTGATGTAGGTCAAGTATATGAAATTATTCAATGATTAGCATACTCGGATTCATCTTGGTACATTATATACTAACCTTAATTCCTTTTCCAAACTTTAAATAAAAGGTTATGGACAGAAATTATTATCAATAACTGAGAATATTTCTGGACGAAATCTTTCAATTTTTTTTTAAATATGAACATGACTGATATTATTTGTAAATCCCAAAGTTTAATCATAAACTTGAAAATAACATGAAATTGGAAAAGTATCTTATAGATGAAGGGAATGTTAGTAAATCGAGTGAAAAATTGTTGAATAAAATACTGATCGTTTTATAACCTTTATTGTATGTTTTTTTCCTTGGTGGTGAAGCTTCCAATGCATAGAGATTTGTGCTTTAGCTCTCTTTCAGTCAAAAATAGTAGTGTTTTATATTTTTGAAAACATGTGATAGTAACACATAGCCAGTTGACCATTTATAAATAAAAAATTACCTTATATCATGCTATATCTTGTTGACAACCTCGTTTGAAAATGACCAGTTTGCTTTAAAACATTAAAAAAGAAATTGATAATCATTTCTTTATAAGATCTCCTCTCCTGAGACCAGAATCACCCACAACGTTGAATAATTGTTTTAGCGGTGTTTATAAGTTATTTTGGTTGTATAAACAATTTGCTTGATTAAATAAATGTTCATGTATTAGGTAACTATGCTTTTTTCTTACGAGCTATTATTGTAATGTAGCATTCGTCTGATACAAACGTATTTTTTCTTATACATGTGTTTAGTTACATCAAACTGCATATTGAAAGGTAATTAATTTTGCTCACAAATAGGTGTTTTGACTTCATATCAGAGGTGCTTTAGTGGATTAAAATTCATAAATATTGTTTCTTAAGTTTGTGTGAAAATTGCCACCGCATTCTTGGACTTACTATGAAAATGTTCGCGAACTGTAGCATTGGCATTTTGCCACTTAAAAATTTCCTTGTCCCAGTGGGAAAACAGTAAATAAAAGCACAATCTTTCTGATCAGTAACAATGTTCTGATAAATGTAGTACCTGATATAGTTGTTGAAATCAGTGGTCCTCACACTTGCTGTGAAAACGGTATCAAACAATTATAGAGCATATAGAATGAATGTTTTAATTATTTTGTGCTCTTTCTGCCTTATTTCACATTCCACATACATTAGACGCTCGTTTTTACGAAGTCGTAGGGACTACGAAAACAGTTCGTTAAATCGAGAGTTCGTAATTTAGAAAGGCATCGGAAATTGTTAGTATTTCACATTTTAATGTTTTCAAGACAGGTTAGTGATACTATTCCATGCTTTTATTTATGTATTAGGAATTATTTTTAATAGTATTACTACTTAATAAATGATATCCATTCTATTAAACAAACAAGAAATATAAAGTATTTGTAAAACGTACCTTTATTAAGTCATTGAGCAACAAAATAATCACTTATCTTTGTCTGTTTTAAAACAACAGATTGTACAATGCAAGACTCCATCTTCTCTATATTTGTTAGCATTTCAGAATTATCACTGGCCTCAAAAAATCGTCTAAGTTCTGACAAGAATTCAGCAGCTTGTTTTAAAGTCGGTCTTAGTGTTACTTCATTTTCTTCTTCTTCTTCTTCTGAATCTGAAAGTCTCTCATTCTCATTGATTATGCTGCTAATAATATCGTGATCCGATATTTCCTCCGTGCAGATGACATTAGAATCCACATTTAAAAAATCCTCGAATGAAAGTTCTGGCAACTGTGGATTTCTACGGCGAAGTTCATGCATGAGAACCTCATCTTCGTCGTGAGATCTATTGTCATGGATTTCTTCAGTTAGTACGTCTGTTTCTTTAATAAAACCTGCATGTCGAAAGACTTTAGAAATTGTTTCATCTAAAACATCATTCCATATACTGATTGATAAATGCATTGCACCAAGAATATCAATCTGATAAGGTTGTACCCTTTCCAAGCCAAGGATTACTCTTTGCAAGAGCACTGTCTTATATTTTCACTTGAAACTATTGATTATCCCCTGATCCATTGGCTGTAAAACTGCAGTTGCATTTGGTGGGAGATATTCCACATGGATTGCCTGAAGCCCAGTGACTTCCATGTGTGCAGTACAATTGTCCACGATTAGGAGAACTTTGGGCTTCTCTGCTGAAAAACGGTTATCTAAATCTCTCAACCATTTTTCGTAGATGTTGCCAGTCATCCAGGCCTTATTAGCATAATATGCAGCAGGAATCTTCTGAACATTTTTGAAACACCTTGGTTTCAGATATTTTTCCAATAAAGAGCAGAGGCAATTTTTGTGTGACCCCAGTCATGTTGGCTGCAATCAAAACTGTAAGTCTCTCTTAGCTTTATTACCTCCAACACATTTATCTCCTTTGTAAGCTAATGTTCTTTCTGGCAAAATCTTAAAAAAACAAAGCCGTTTCGTCCACATTAAAAACGTCATCTGCAGCGTGTTCAGAAAGAAGCAATTTCAAACTTTTCTTCTTCCATTCATTTGCTGATGACGTGTTGCTTCTACTGCTGCACTTCACCACACCTTTCCGGAAACTCAAAAACCATTCCAAAATTTAAATTTCTGTAACTAACCATCCGATGCTTTAAAATCTTTGATGTTTAATTTGGAAGCAAAAAAGTGTGCTTGTTCTTAAGTACATTTCCATCAATTGGAATGTTTAAGCTTCTCATCTTTCGAAACCAAACAAGCAAAGCCCTTTCCAAATTTGGGTGTTTTGATTCTCGAAAATATTTTCGAGAGGAGGGTCCACATTCATCGTTTCCTTTTTAGCTCCAAAGATCTTCTCTCTTGCCTTTAAAATTGTCGATAAACTATTTTTAGGAATTCCATATTTCTGAGCAATTTGTGTCTTGCTTAATATTTTTTCGTCAACTTCTTTTAAAATCTTCTTCTTTATTTCAACCGCTAAACAAATTCGTTTCTTCATTTGCGACATAGCTGTAAGAATCCTACTTAACAAAAACTGGCCCAATCTCCCTCTCGACTAATGAGACTTCACTGATTGAGTTGTCCAGATCAAATGACTATGACATTACAAAAAGCAACAACTCTCTTTTAGAAGCAACCCAAACCCCTTTAACACGAATGGTCTCACCCCCACCCAACAACATCAGGCCGATGCTCTTCTGAGAGCCTCCCACAACAAACACCATAAATTTGTCCTAATTCCCCCTCTTTTCCGCCCCCTCCTTCCTTACTGTACTTCTTCGAATGTTTCGCACTTGCTGCCTCAAAATAGTTGGAGATTTTATTTGACCTTCACACTTTGTCCCAATGAAACACGCAGAAGTATGAAAACTGAGTTCGCAAAAAAGAGATTTTCTTGATTTGTAGTTCATAAATAAGAGTGCAAAATTACATTACATCTATGGGAGTGTATTCGGGACCATTCGCTAGTTCGTCAAATTGAGAGTGTTCGTAAAAAAGAGGTTCGTAAAAACCAACGTCTACTATAATATGGTAGAAATTGGCATTTATTAATTCATGCATCTTCTTTTTAGTTGCATCTTGTTCTGGATTGGGAAGTATCTTTTTTTAAGTTATATTGTTTGTATGTGAGGATATCCAATGGTTATATTCAGAGATGTTCTGCATTCTCTGTCACACTAAACGGATATTTCATGTGTTTCTGTTTATTGATATATATCATCTTGCCCATTCTTTGTCAGTCTCATTTTTTAAAGGTTGTTTTCAGCTGTATTTCTGGATGATGTTTGTTTACCATTCATCTCATCTTACATAAGTTGTCAGGTCACATTTGAAATCAAGAGTTTTTTAATGCCTATCTGAATAGGTGTGTCTGAATGTAAATCAATGTGCTAATACTGAAGTGTTGTCATGTAATTTTCTGTGGTTACTGCATGTGATTGTTTTCTTGTGGAACTGCTTTTTCATTCAGACTGTATCTGATTAAATGAGTGTTCAGTTTAATTGAAAATATGTATTCGTTGTATAACAAAGTACCTAAAACTACAAGCAAATATGTGAAGGATATTTATTCTGAAATATGTAAATGTTCAAATAAATAAAACTGATAGCTAATCTTTGGAATATGGTAACAGGTAGTTTGGTGACATTTTGGTAAGGCGATAAAGGTTACTAGCTAGGACTTTAGCAATAATCTGAGAAGTACACAATTCGAATCACAGATTATTTTATCTCAGAGAAATGACAGATCATGAGACATGTAATTTGACATTTTCCGGAAATTTCCAATCGGAATTTTAGCTAATAAGCACTTAGAAACAATTTCACTGCTAAAGTGCAGAATCACCCACTTATTTTTTGGCACTTTTTACAAGAGTAAGAAGAATTGGATTTTTGTCAATTTTCTTTGACTTTTTAAGTGTAAATAGGTTGATGTGTACATGGATAAAAGTCAAGAGTGTGCGCATGCCATTTTTGTGGAATTCT